TATATATATATATATATATATATATATATATTGTCGGTGCCGAATAGGCAGAACTGCGATCTTGGCTTAAATAGCAACGCTCATCTTGCCATATAGACAAGTGAAAATTTGTGTATGCAATAATCGCAAAATCATTCTGAACCTAACGAAAAAAATCTATTTGTTGTGTTTGTTTAGTACTAAATTATTGTAAACGTATTTAAAATATATTTAGTTGGGTTAGGCTAAAATAAATTGCTCTTGCTATAATGGGGTTAGGTAAGTTTTCTAATATTTTTTTTGGTACAAAATTAAAAATTTTTACATTAACATTAATGAAAAAATATATCTTTAAAAAATAAGAGAAAATTTCAGAAAGGCCCTTAATTTTTATAAATGAGTTCTTGCTAATATATATATAATATATATATTAATATATATATATATATAATAATATATATCTTTTCCTTCAACGCACCAGCAATATTCCACTGAGGCAGGGTGGCCCAAAAAGAAAAACAGAAGTTCCTCATTTTAAATTTAGTAATATATACAGGAGAAGGGGTTACTAGCCCCATGCTCCCGGCATTTTAGTCCCCTCTTACAACACGCATAGCATACGGAGGAAGAATTCTGTTCCACTTCCCCATGGAGATAAGAGGAAATAAACAAGAACTAGAAAGAAAACAGAAGAAACCCCAGAGGGGTGTGTGTGTGTATATATATGCTTGTACATGTATGTGTAGTGTGACCTAAATGCAAGTAGAAGTAGCAAGACATACCTGAAATCTTGCATGTTTATGAGACAGACAAAAGACACCAGCAATCCTACCATCATGTAAAACAATTACAGGCTTTCGTTGTACACTCACTTAGCAGGACGGTAGTACCTCCCTGGGTGGTTGCTGTTTACCAACCTACTACCTAGTTAATATATATATATATATATAATATATATATATATATATAAATATTTTAAAATATATATATATATATATATATATATATTTATATATGTCTGCCGAATATGTAAAACTGGTCAAAATTTGCAAGAACTCATTTAAAATTTAAATCCTTTCTAAATTTTTTCTTATACGTTTAAAGATATATTTTTTTCATTAATGTTAATGTAAAAATTTTTAATTTTGCTCCAAAAGAATTTTAGAAAACTTACCAAACCCTTTATTATAACAAGAACAATTTATTTTAGCCCTAACCCAACTAAATATATTTTATATACGTTTACAATAATTTAATACTAAAAAAACACAGTGAAATATATTTTTTTCGTTAGGTTCAGGATGATTTTGGCGAAATTATTGCTTTAAACACAAATTTTCACTTGCCCTATATGGCAAGATGAGCGTTGCATTTAAGCCAAGATCGCAAGTTCTGCCTATTCGGCACGACATATATATATATATATATATATATATATATATATATATATATATATATATATATATATATATAATATATATATATATATATATATATATATATATATATATATATATATACAGTCGTCCCTTGACTTGCGAAAATTTTGAGTTATGATTTACCCTCGTTGAGGAATTTTAGTTATGAGTTACAATAAAAAAAACTGATATATATATATATATTATATAATATATATATATATCAGTTTTTTTTATTGTAACTCATAACTAAAATTCCTCAACGAGGGTAAATCATAACTCAAAATTTTCGCAAGTCAAGGGACGACTGTATATATATATATATATATATATTTTTTTTTATTTTTTTTATTATCACACCGGCCGATTCCCACCAAGGCAGGGTGGCCCGAAAAAGAAAAACTTTCACCATCATTCACTCCATCACTGTCTTGCCAGAAGGTGCTTTACACTACATTTTTAAACTGCAACATTAACACCCCTCCTTCAGAGTGCAGGCACTGTACTTCCCATCTCCAGGACTCAAGTCCGGCCTGCCGGTTTCCCTGAATCCCTTCATAAATGTTACTTTGCTCACACTCCAACAGCACGTCAAGTATTAAAAACCATTTGTCTCCATTCACTCCTATATAATATATATATATATATATATATATTATATATATATATATATATATATATAATATATATATATATATGGTGGGCTTCAGCCCAGACACAAGACACAATGATGATAAGGTATGAAATGGAGTGATGGAGGAGGCAGTGTTGGACATAAGTGGAAGGGAGGAAGGAAGGCAGAGGAGGGAGACACTATGTTACGAGTATTTATTTGTATTTATTTAATTTTATTATAAGCGCTAAACTGCCAAACCCTGTCCTGCTCTGGCCTGGCCTGCCTGCTCTGGCCTGGCCTGCCTGCTCTGGCCTGACCTGCCTGCTCTGGCCTGACCTGCCTGCTCTGGTCCGACCTGCCTGCTCTGGCCTGACCTGCCTGCTCTGGCCTGACCTGCCTGCTCTGGCCTGGCCTGCCTGCTCTGGCCTGACCTGCCTGCTCTGGTCCGACCTGCCTGCTCTGGCCTGACCTGCCTGCTCTGGCCTGACCTGCCTGCTCTGGCCTGACCTGCCTGCTCTGGCCTGACCTGCCTGCTCTGGCCTGACCTGCCTGCTCTGGCTTGTCCTTCCTGCTCTGGCCTGGCCTGGCCTGGTTTGGCATGCTACAAGTATGTTATATTTTATTTGGTGTACACACACTCCCATATAGGCTGCCTACCAACCAGGGAACCGGTGTTAAAAGTTTAACGATCAATAGGGTAGTTAAATCAGTACCTTGGTTCATTGGCCAATCACAGACAAGCCCGCCAAAGCTGAAGCAACGTGGTTCACTTGTGACAAGCGAATTGACAGACTTGCCTGAGCTGCTGCTTGATTACGGTGCACTATCTGGCGTTTGCTTTTGTCATCTTTTGCCCTTGTCAGTTTAGCACTTTTTGATTACAATAATAATTGTGATCTTTTGTCACCGTTTGTTACACTTACTACTCAACCTCTGTACATAGTGTACATGTATATATCTGGAAAATTACATCTGCTGAAGGAAACGCAAGTCACTTTCAAGCCCATTACGACCAGGTCGTAGGCCATATTGTACCTGTGTTCGTAATACTTGGCCTGTCCTACCTGCTCTGGCCTGGCCTGGCCTGGCCTGCCTGCCTGTTCTGACGTATCCTGCCTGCTTGCCTGCCTGCTCTGATCTATCCTGCTTGCCTGCTCTGGCCTGTCCTGCCAGTCCTGCTCTGCCTGCCTGCCTGCCTTTAATGGAGTGATGGTGGAGGGTGTGTTCAAGGTGAGTGTGAGGGAGTTGGTGTTAGGGATACGGAGGAGAGCGGAAAGGAGGCAGAGGGAGAATGAAAACTGGTGTAGTACGTGTACCGGACGCATACATGTTGTTACCAATCTCTGCCTGCCTGCTCTGGCCTACCCTGCCCTGCCTACCCACTCTGGTATATATCGTGCTGAATAGGTAAAACTGATAAATTACCAAGAACTCATTTAATATTAAGTCCATCCAAAAAATATCTCTTATAGGTTTAAAGATATATATTTTATTTTTACATTAATGTAAAAGTTAATTTTATACCAAAACCTTAGAAAACTTGTCTAACCTTATTATAACAAGCGTAATTTAAATTAGCCTAATACAACTAAATATATTTTTGATAAGTTTACAGTAATTTAATAAACATAATTAAATATGTAAAGTAAAAGGACACAAGTGCAACTAATGTGACATTTATTGTGGCAACGTTTCGCTCTCCAGGAGCTTTATCAAGCCATTACAAACAATACATGGACAATTAAATATATTTTTTCGCTAGGTTCAGAATGACTTTTGCAAAATTATTGCATGCACAAATTTTAGCTTGCCTTAGTCGGTAAGAAGAGCGTTGCTATTTAAGCCAAAATCGCAAGTTTTCTCTCTATCCACCTAAATATAATGTGTGCTTTCTTCTATAGTAACCACCACGACACAATGGTAGAGCGCAGGAGCTGTTTTACGCGTATCTAATTATAGTCAATACTATTTTTTGCAAGTACACTGACTCTAGCATTGAAGAGACAAGATGGATCCCTCATTAGGGTTGGTGGTGGTTTAGAGAACTAGGAAAACTTAACTGATATCACAGACTTATCACTCTGTTGACATTACCCAGAGTGAGTTTCTCTCTCTTCTTTGTAACCACCACTGTACAATGGTTAAGGGTAGGCATATACACGTACAGCGTCGGGTTCATTTTCCATCCAGGAAATAAAGAAAAAAAACACTTGATATTTACAGGTAAATACGTGAGGTACTGAAGCTGAGGTCGATCAACACCACAATAACAGTGGGACAGGCCAACCTCAGGGAAGGGAATTCTTAAGTAATTATAACACTACCTCTAATGGAACGACACGTTTGAAACTCCCGTAGCAGATGAACTCTTAGTGGACTACTTGATAGCCACATTTTCCTGCTAAAATCTCCCAGCTCTGGTTGACATAATTCATTATCTCATGTATGCAACCATCATATGTATGGCACATGACTGGGAAACAGCCAACTTTTGTTTCTGCCAGGAAACTTTTCCTGGAACAGACTAGAAGCACAGTGCGAGTCTTCCCACAATGCAACTATCACATAGAAGACAGCAGCAACACTGTGGGTACTCCCACAAGGCAACTATCACACAGAAGACAGCAGCAACACTGTGGGTACTCCCACAATGCAACTATCACACAGAAGACAGCAGCAACACTGTAGGTACTCCCACAATGCAACTATCACACAGAAGAAGGTAGCAACACTGCGAGTATTCCCACAATGCATCACACAGAAGAGGGTAATCGTACGCTGCTGATGTACTTTATTTTGTTAGTTTAATGGCAGTGCGCTAAACCCATATCAGCCATACAGCGCCAAAAGCAAGGGACGTAATCAAGTTAGACTGTATAAAAAAGGAAAGTTGTTCTAATCTAGTGTAAAGAATGTCTCAGCAGAATCACAACACCCGCCTTGAAGTGGTTTACTAGTGTTACACAGGTAGTCACGATGGTACTCACCGGGATGAACTGTTCCAGTCTACCACCAGGGAACACACCGTACAGGCGAGGTCCCAAGCGTCTCTCAGACAGCAACGCAAAGATCACACTCTCAGCCAGAACACTCTCCAGCGCGTCCTCACCGTGAACCTGTAAGTTTAATCACCTTCATTACACAAGTTGACATTCTAACAATTGTCTTACATAGCAACATGTGTAAAAAGTACCTAAGATAATTCAGTTAAGTTTAAAGGACCGGTGGCCTGGTGGCTAAAGCTCCCGCTTCACACACGGAGGGCCCGGGTTCGATTCCCGGCGGGTGGAAACATTTCGACACGTTTCCTTACACCTGTTGTCCTGTTCACCTAGCAGCAAATAGGTACCTGGGTGTTAGTCGACTGGTGTGGGTCGCATCCTGGGGGACAAGATTAAGGACCCCAATGGTAATAAGTTAGACAGTCCTCGATGACGCACTGACTTTCTTGGGTTATCCTGGGTGGCTAACCCTCCGGGGTTAAAAATCCGAACGAAATCTTATCTTATCACTATATAAAGTAGTAGTCCTCCTCGCCTATATATACTGGCTCACTCATTCTCTTCTTTCAGTGTGACTTGTGAATGGTACAGATCGGACAGTAACGTTGTCATAAGTTTTCTCTCTAAGTGCAGGTTATCCGTGTATTGTTCCAGTCACAGTATTGTGCCTTTTTCTTCTTCCTAAGGAGTACAAAACAAGGGACTTTAAATATTCCCATTAATTACGGTGCTCGACTGAACTTGTATGTGCAGCAAATGTGATCTGTACATTCTCCAGATCCGCAATTTCACCTGTCTGAAAAGGGGTCGTGTACATTAATTGTCGGTATAAAATACCGACACAATGGAAATATAAACACATATGCAGTATAATGTGATTCTTTATTGACAACATTTCGCCCACACAGTGGGCTTTTTCAAGTCACAAACAGATCTACCTGGGGTGGAAGGTATGCGAGTATTTATAGTCAGGTTCAGAATGCTGTGGTCAGGTGGAGAATGCTGCATCTGGTGATCTACCGAGTGGGGTTACAGAGTCTAAAATCTTGGGTAGCTTGGAAGGGAGATTGGATAAGTATGTGAGTAGACCTTCTGCAGCGTTCCTCCATTCCTATGTTCTTATGTGGGATAGCGATGAAGAAGTTTCTTGGCAAGTGGTTCAGCTATGTTATAGAAGCCATTGTTCTGGGTGAAGTTGTCGGATATAGAGATAAGCGACGATTCCAGGATTCTTCGGTATTGAGTGTTGTCTTCTCTGGCGATAAGTCTTGAGTTTCTGTAGTGTATTAAATGGTTGTGTGAATTACGGTGTTGTACAGAGGCATTCCTTGTATCATCAGACCTGCTTGCGTATTGGTGTTCTGAAATACAGTGGACCCCCGCATAGCGATTTTAATCCGTGCAAGAGGGCTCATTGTTATGCGAAATGATCGGTATGCGAATGAATTTTCTCCATAAGAAATAATGGAAATCAAATTAATCCGTGCAAGACACCCAAAAGTATGAAAAAAAAATTTTTACCACATGAAATGTTAATTTTAATACACACAAACTGAAAAGGCATGCACAATTACAGGACACTTACTTTTATTGAAGATCTGGTGATGATTGATGGGATGGGAGGAGGGGAGAGAGTGTGTTAGTGTTTAGAAGGGGAATCCCCTTCCATTAAGACTTGAGGTGTCGAGTCCTTTTCTGGGGTTACTTCCCTTCTTCTTTTAATGCCACTAGGACCAGCTTCAGAGTCACTGGACTTCTTTCGCACAACATATCTGTCCATAGTGGCCTGTACCTCTCGTTCCTTTATGACTTCCCTAAAGTGTTTCACAACATTGTCAGTGTAATAGTCACCAGCACGGCTTGCAATAGCTGTGTGAGGGTGATTTTCATCCATGAAGGTTTGCACTTCAAGTCACTTTGCACAGATTTCCTTAATCTTTGTAGTAGCAATTTCTTCAATTTCTCTCTCCCCCCTTCGAACCAGTTTTCCTCAGGGCTGGCCTCTTGCTGTTGAAGTTGATCTATCAGCTCATCAGTGGTTAGTTCTTCATTGTCCTCCTCCACCAACTCTTCCACATCATCCCCACTAACCTCCAACCCCAAGGACTTTCCCAATGCCATAATGGATTCCTCAATTGGCATAGGATTCTCAGGGTTAGCCTCAAACCCTTCAAAATCCCTTTGGTCTACACATTCTGGCCACAGTTTCTTCCAAGCAGAGTTCAAGGTCTTCTTAGTCACTCCCTCCCAAGCCTTACCTATAAGGTTTACACAATTGAGGATATTAAAGTGCTGGTCCATGGGCTGCAGGAGAGGAGTGGTATTAGGAGGCAAAAACTTCACCTTAATGAATTTCATGTCCCCATAAAGTCACTCTGCCTGCACGTCTGTAGGATGACCAGGGGCATTGTCTAACACCAGGAGGCACTTAAGTTCTAATTTCTTTTCAGTTAGGTAATCTTTCACATTGGGGGCAAATGCATGGTGTAACCAGTCATAGAAAAAGTCCCTAGTGACCCATGCCTTACTGTTTGCCCTCCACAGCACACACAAATTCTCCTTGAGGACATTCTTTTGCCTGAACGGTCTGGGAGTTTCAGAGTGATACACTAATAAAGGCTTCACTTTGCAATCACCAGTAGCATTGGAACACATCAACAAAGTAAGCCTGTCTTTCATTGGCTTATGTCCTGGGAGTGCCTTTTCCTCCTGAGTAATGTAGGTCCTGCTTGGCATTTTCTTCCAAAACAGGCCTGTTTCATCACAATTAAACACTTGTTCAGGTTTCAGTCCCTCACTGTCTATGTACTCCTTGAATTCCTGCACATATTTCTCAGCTGCTTTGTGGTCCGAACTGGCAGCCTCACCATGCCTTATCACACTATGTATGCCACTACGCTTCTTAAATCTCTCAAACCAACCTTTGCTGGCCTTAAATTCACTCACATCACTAGTTGCAGGAATTTTTTTAATTAAATCCTTATGCAACTTCCTAGCCTTTTTGCTTATGATCGCTTGAGAGACGCTATCTCCTGCTAGCTGTTTTTCATTTATCCACACCAATAAGATTCTCTCAACATCTTCCATCACTTGCGATCTCTGTTTCGAAAACACAGTTAAACCTTTGGCAAGAACAGCTTCCTTGATTGCCTTTCTGTTGCCCACAATAGTAGCGATGGTTGATTTGGGTTTCTTGTACAACCTGGCCAGGTCGGCGACACGCACTCCACTTTCAAACTTATCAATGATCTCTTTCTTCATCTCTATAGTAATTCTCACCCTTATTGCTGTAGGGTTGGCACTAGAAGCTTTCTTGGGGCCCATGGTCACTTATTTGGCAGATAAAATCACCAAAAACACTGTAATAATACGAAATGTTCCGATTGTATGCTTGGATGTTACCGCGGAGGCTGGCTGGTAAACAATGCCACCGGCGGCACATGTGAGGCTGGCTAAGGGCGCACATTGGACGCGTCTCGGACGAACAGCGGTGAGCGGGTTTTTGAGCAGTATGTGAGGCAAAATTTTTGCGATAAAAGCGAGCGTTATGCAGATTAAACGTTATGTGATGCCGACGGTATGCGGGGGTCCACTGTACGTGTTTGGAGGTCTCTTGATGTTTCGCCCACATATAATTTGCTGCAGTCATTACAAGGGATTATGTATACCCCTGCAGAGGATGGAAGCTTGTCCAATTACTGGTAATGTCCTTGATGGTCGTGGAGCTAGATACTTGGAATGAGGTACTGGAAAAGATGTTGGAAACGTGTCTGGCAATGGAGTTGGTGGGGAGGACTATGTATCTCTTCTCGGCAGTGTCTTCTCTGGGTGTGTTGAAGATGTTTAATGTCCATCGTCTGCAGTCTCTGATGAAGTGACGAGGATAATGAAGTTTCGAAAATACTTGTTCAATTATAGTGCATTCTTCCTCAAGGAACTCATTGCTGCAGATTTTGAGTGGGTGCAGGAAAAAAACCTATAATTACACCACGTTTAGTTTTGATGTCGTGTTGAGAGTAGAAGAGGAGAAGATAGTTTTGGTTGGTGGGATTTTGATAGACTTTAAAACAAAGTTCGTGGTCAGCTTTGCAGAGAAGAACATCAAGGAAAGGAAGAGTGTTGTCGACTTCAAGTGTGAACTGGATTGAGGGCTCGACCTGGTTGAGCTTGTCTAGGAGAGCTTGAACGTTGAAGCGTCTGGGAGTTATGAGGAGAATGTCGTCAACATAACGGAGCCAGGTGACAGAGGAAGGAATAATGGTGGAGAAACACTCGGCTTCCAGATGTTCCATGTATAGGTTTGCCATGATGGCACTGAGTGGCGAACCCATGGATAGTCCAAAAGTCTGCTGAAAAAGGTGATTTTCGAAAGAGAAACACATAAAGCCAACACATAGTTCAACAAGGTCGATGAAATCGCTGGCTGGATTAGGAAGATCAAGTGAATCGTCAATTTTCCTGCACAAGAGATCGATGGCTTGTGTAGTAGGTACTTTGGTGAATAGGGAAGTTACGTCAAGGCTGGAAAGTTTCTTGTTCCTGATGTTGATGTTGTGAATGCGACTGAGAAGATCACCCGAGTGTTTAAGATGTGCTGGACTGATGGTGCCCAAGAGTTTAAAGAGGTGTTTTGCGAGAATTCCTGAGAGTTGGTGGGGAGCACTGCTTATTCCGGAAGATATGGGCCTCAATGGGATACCAGACTTGTGAGTTTTTGGCAGGCCGTACATTCTGGCGGGTCTGGGGTTGCTGGGTATGGTGTGCAGAAGTTTCTTCCCTTGTTCTGAGTCCCTCAGAATGCAGCGAGTCCATTGAAGAAATGTTTTAGTAAGGTTGTCCACTTGGTTAGTTGTGAGAGATTTGTAGGTATCTGGGTCATTAAGTAGATTGAGCATTTTGTTCCTGTAATCGTCAGTGTTCATGATAACAACACCACCTTTATCCGCGGTGGTGACCCTGATGGTTTTGTCTTCTGCTAAAGCTTTAAGAGCAATGATGTAATGTTGAGGTATGACTGAGGAGCTCCGTGTTGAGATGGCCCCTGAGATGATGCCTTGAAGATAACCTTTTAGGAAGGCAGAGTCACTGTGTCTGTAGTTTTTGGCGATGAAATT